AGTAGTAGTATTTACTAGTTTAGTGATAGTAGACGGTGGATGGACAGAAATGGAGAAGGCTCGGAGCGTAGGAGAAAAAGGTAGAAAGATAGAAGGTGCAAGAAGTGAGGGAGGAGGAAAAGGGAAAGGCAAGAAAGGCAGGTCGAATGGCGAGGGACGAGAAACGTACAGGAGGATAAGAAAGAGGTATAGGAGAGAGAATCGGAGGAAAATGAACGCAGTTGGGCGGCAGTGTCAGTGGAGTTCAATCTTAATATAGTGTGACCCCCACTGCCATTCGAAACAGTGTTGGACGCGACGACTACAGCAGCGTGTACCAGTTGAGAAGAGCGAGAAGGATAGATAGATGGATAGATAGAAGGAGAGAGAGAGAAGCGAGAGCGCAGTGAACGGGTGCGTGCATTGCACCTTATTCCCCTGTCCGGCGAATGAGCCTCGCTCGGTTATTTCAGAGACATCGGCCTCGAGAAGAGGCGCAAGTACGGGGCGTTCGAGCGTGCGCGCGAACCACTATACTTGCGAGAAAAGAGACGTAAAGCAAGAGAATAAAGAGAGAGGGAGAGAGAGATGCTTGGATGCGTCCACGTGTTCGCACGCAAGCGAGATCGTTCGGCTGAGTGTCATCGATCTATTTCGAGAGGAACCTGGAATTTCTGGCTTTTGAGAGGGTACGCGAAGGGAAACAGAAGCAACTATATAGTTTCTTTACTAGTTACTACAAAGAGAAAAAGAATGAAAAGAAAAAAGTTCATTCATATTTTACTTTATCATAAATTTACAAATTTCTTCTTTTCTTTTTTTTCTCGTTAAAATATGAGAATAATATATCATTTAATATTGTCACGAAAATCGTATAAAATAACGTATTCTCTTCCTCTTTCTCATGTCGAAGTTATTTACATCGAACAAAAGCATATAATAATGCATATGGAACGCATGTAGAAGGTTTTAGAAGGATGAATAGAATAGAAACGCAATAGTCGGATTGCGAGTAGGCGAGGGATTCCAAGGATCCGACGATCAATCGATAGAAGTTTCGCGATGCCAAGACGAACGAGTGAGCGCAAAGCGAATGTGGAGAATCGTGAGCCGCGTTGTCCCCGCAGAGACCACGTTCCCGACTTTATTGGCGTTATTGGTGTTTCTTCGGACGTTCCTCCGGCAGTGTGCGCGAGGTCGCTTCAAGAAAACGGGAGAGGGTAACAGAGAAGGAGGAACAGGAGGAGCAGGAGGTGGAGGAGGAGGATAGGAGGACATGCTTGGTGGGGATAAAGAGAAAGAGAGAGATAGCGACGGTGGTGCTCGGCCGTTGTATCGTGGGGGTGTTGGCCTTCAACTTGACGGCGCAGTTTCACTGACCTGCCTGAGAAACTCGTGATACTCGGCGCGGCTCGTGCGCCCAGCTACCAAAGAAATCTTCCGAGACGGCAAAGAATACCGCTGCTTAAAGGCCCGTAAGGCCCTCAAACAACTTTTTGGAGAGGGGTCTTGTTTTACTTTCTCCACTCCCCTCCCTCAATTTTTATTTTTATTTCTAATAAACAATACTCGTAGGAGCAAATATTGAATCAATCGCGAGACCCTATCTGCTATCAATTTTATATAGTATATTTTTTCGTCTTTTATAAAAGGAAAGTAAGAGAAAAGAAATTTGATTTGGACACTTTTGGTCTTCCGTAGAAAGAACAAATTAAAACAGTCTTGTGTGTGTTGTAATACAGGCTTACGAAAAAGAGCGGATATGCCACATTGTGGAAAATTTTGAAACGCCTCCTAAGCAAACAAAGGGACCGACCTTTGAACAGCGTTCCCTTAGGGTCTTCTATGCCTGCTTTTCCTTTGTCCATGGTTAGTCTAGACGAATAGATTAGATTCCATTTTCCTAAGTTACCAAAACGTGTTCCTTCGAATACAAGTATAGGAGTACTAAAAACAGAACAGTTGCGATTGAAAATTTGGTCGGTTGTCCGGAAGGAAAAGGAGAGAGAGAGAGTAGTCAGTCAGTCGGCCGTAGAACGAGTTGGAATTCCTTTCTCTGCTTCTTCTGCGATCGACTTTCCGTCGAAGCTAAACGACCCTCGCCAGCGAATCCTCGGAAACGAGAAAGAAAGAATGGCAGAGAGCTTGCTTCGTTCCAAAGAGGTCGTTGGGTGTAGAGGCCGTAATTAAAGCAAAGCCCCGAACAGATGGCCCGCGGGTTTCTGTCCCTTTCAAATGAATTTTTCTTCGAAAGTCATTGCCTACCGAGGACTTCCAAGAAAGTAGTTGGATGCAAAAATGGACGCAGAACGATGTCAAAATTACATTCAATTAATATCTAACATTATATTACGTACCTACATGTCTAGGAAAAAGTCAAGGTAATAGAAAGGTATAAATCATCTTAAGCAACGTAAGCCGAAATAAAATGAATGCAAGATCGACACTTTTTTTGTTGTCCAAAGAAAAAAAAATTCTACAAGGCATGCTATGCTCGTTGCACGCAGTGCACGGCGCCGTCGTGTAATGCAGTCTCCAACTATAGAAGCGTATAACTATTGATCCTGCGGCCTTTCGAGAGAAGCTACCGCCCTGCTGCCGGCGCCACCGCTGCTTCTGCAGATTTTAGCAACGTCACTTGAAAGTGTGACGCGTTGGGAGAATTATTTGTCTTATGTTAGTATTCGCTTTGCGTACTGACGAGGGCCCGTCCGGTACGCGAATGATGACATGCTTCCTAGAAAAAAAAAACAAAAAAAGAAAAATCATTTAGATAGTAAGATTACGCCAATCAAATTTTCTAAGCGTTATATGCCTACTGAAAGATATTATCCTAGGATTAGTCATTTGTGTACTACTTTTCTATGTAATATTTATATGTAATATTACGAAAGTAAAATCTCTCTGAAAGATTCTCGAAGATCGAAAGAGAAGAATAAGAAGAAAGAGAGATACTCTCTTTTCGTCCTTCCTCCTCTCTGGTTCCTCCAAGAAGACGGACAAAGGCAAAAGACTCTTGTGTTTTCTTCGGCGACTCGTCTCTCTTTCCACGGCATGCGTACACGTTCACGCACATACACAAGAACTCCATATGCAAGAACGATGCAACAGACAGTCGACATGTGCACACGTATATACGTTCTCTTTTTCTCTTTCTCTCTCCCTTCCCGTCTTACCTCACCTTGGCCGCGGCCCTTCAACCGTCTACGACCCACGCCCCACCTCTTCTTTCTGCATCCTAGTAGCCAGCACCATCTCCACCATGCCATGCTATGCCATGCCATGCCATGCTACACCATACCACACCACACCATACCACACCACACCATACCACGCCACGCCATCGTCGTCACCATCGACCACAAGGAAAGCAGCCTTCCTCTCCTCTTTATTCTCTTCGTCTTTCTCCAGCATCATTTTCTTCTTCTTCTTTTTCTTCTTTTTCGCAGGTCTTCGATCTTTGAAGTCTACCTGCGACCCACGTGCGCGCCTATGCTTCTTAGTCTGCCCTTCTTTCCTTTCTTTCTTCCTTCTCTACATTTGTCTGTCTACTTATTCATAGAGATACATTTCCGGAAGGAGGGGAGAACCTTCTTAAAAGTCACTCTGCCTTCTTTCGCGATTTAGAATCGTTGGCGCGAACAACGAAAACCGTTTCCCCCGTCATTTTGTCAAGAAACATTGAATTATCTTAGAAACCTGGTATGCGTCTTTCTCGCAATCTAGGGAGATTTTTATTTACGTCGCATCCAACCCCCTATTATACGAGTAGCTTTATGGATAAGAACCAGTCGGCAAATGGGGTAAAGAAGATGCGATCATTTCTATAAATAAACGTGATCGATGTGTCCCGAAGCAAGATTCATCCTGCTAATCTAAGAAGGAGCTCGTGTTCTCTCGTAGTTTCCTTTCTGTCTCACGACACAACAGATAGAAATCGAATAATCGAAGAAAGTTCGTGACACGCTAGGTATACGTGTTCCATTCGATGACTGATTAAGAAAACTATAGACGTTATTAGCGCATAGACGTTGTCTGCACGAACGATCTAACATAAGAAAAGTTATAAACCAAGTTAGAACAAGGACGATAAGTAGATTTTACTGATACAAAAATTCTTTATTCAAACCACGACTTATTGTTGGAAATCATTTCCTTTTTGGTAGAAGGTAGAGACGATTCTGTAACGTAACAATCTAATTTTAAGTGAAAAGGTTAATTGATCTAAGCAATCTAGTGAAGATAATTGCACTTTAAACGGAGCAGATACGAGAAAGCTCAAACGACTACTTTTTTTCCCCCTCTCGTTCGATTTCAATGAGATTCGTTCGTGCAAACGAACAGCGATGCAAAAGTCTCTTTCTCGTGGATTAACCGCGACCAATCGGTGCGGTGTTCCGCGGGCTAGTATCGATGTCAAGATTATGCTGCAGAATGCGGCCCCGAAGAGAGGAGGAGGACGTCCGTGACATTGTCGCGTTATGCAAGGACTCCTCGCTGAGGGCGCCATTCGATTCGGGAGCAGACGTGCGTGACGAGCATCGTGGAAGGACACTCGTCTAGTCATCTCCATCGTCGAATTCGTTTTTCCGAATGAACAAATAAACTAATTTTGAGAGAAAATAGAACATTTTTGTCCTCTTATCTGTGATACAAGCTTACGAGAACGTTACATTTTGGATGCGGAACGGAGGATCGAAAGAACATCAAAGGAAAAGTTGGTTTGCGATAAGAGGTGCGCGACGACGCCTTTTCTTCCAGTCGGCGTGCGGAGGAGAGAGTGAACTGAACGAAAGAGTGTGTGCATGTGTGTTTAAGAGAGGGGGGAAAGGTGAGAGAAAGAAGAGTGGTTCACCTGCATTGCTTGCATTGCGCCAGTTTTCAAGGCCACAGTTTGAATTGTTTCTTTTTTCGTTGAGGCGACAACAACGCGACCATTATTTCCTAAGGCTCATTTAGTAGTAATTCTCTGTGAAAAATATAGGAAGGCTTCGTTGACAGATTTCTTATTCTGATTGCAGGCTGCAAGATCAAGGCTCTACGGGCTAAGACGAACACGTACATAAAGACACCTGTACGCGGCGAGGAGCCGGTGTTCGTGGTGACCGGACGGAAGGAAGACGTAGCGCGCGCCAAACGCGAGATCCTCTCCGCGGCGGAGCACTTTTCGCAGATCCGAGCGTCAAGGAAAAGCACGTTGGGCGCGCTTCTGGGTGGTGCACCGCCCGGTCCCCCGGCCACGGTGCCGGGACACGTGACGATCCAGGTACGAGTACCGTACAGAGTAGTAGGTCTGGTGGTAGGACCAAAAGGAGCGACGATCAAAAGGATTCAACATCAGACGCACACGTACATCGTAACGCCGAGTCGCGACAAAGAGCCAGTCTTCGAGGTTACCGGTCTTCCGGAGAGCGTCGAAGCCGCCAGGCGCGAGATCGAGGGACACATCGCCCTTAGGACAGGCACCGGTCTCGCAGAAGAAGATCTTTTGGGTGCCCTATGTCGCGGCGGGCTTGGCTCGATCCTTGGCTGCTTGGTATCAACGGGAATAACTCCATGCAACGACTCAAACTCTAACTCGAACGACTCCAGCGTTGGCTTCTCCTCCAGCGGCAGTTGCAGCAGCTCCTCCAGCAGTACCGGAGGACCGGGGCTGCACGATCTCGTAGCGATATGGGGAAGCAGCATGGACAGAGACGAGGGCCTGGGCGATTCCCCCTCTTTCGAATCTCAGGGACCCTCGGCCTCCTCCATCTGGTCCTTTCCCAGCGTAACGCTACCCTCGAGACCTTCGCCCCCGGCATCGGCGAGCCCAGTGTCGCCCACGGATTCCCTCTTAGGAGGCGGTAGCGCCGGTGGTCGCCGCGAGTGCGTAGTCTGCGGCGACAAAGAGATCACCGCCGCCCTCGTGCCCTGCGGACATAATCTATTCTGTCTCGACTGCGGCAACAGAGTCTGCGAGAGCTCCAATCCGATGTGCCCCGCCTGCTCCAGGCCCGTTATGCAGGCGCTTCGCATCCTTTCATAAACGCCCGCGTGCGCACCTGAGCGCACCCGAGCTAAGCTCCCGCACGCTAACAAGCACGACGGTTGCGCACAATCTCTCTATTCCACTGCTGCCAATAATAATCTCTTACGCGCTAGGAACTTTTCGACATTTCTGATACACTTCTGATACGTCGTCTTGTTCTCAGTGCCCGATCGGATACAACGAAGTCAGTTTTTAAGTTTTATCACACTGAGAGTAGAGAGTTAGTAAAAGAGTCTAAGAGAGAGGAAGGAAAGGGGAGAGAGAGGAAGGAAAGGGGAGAGAGAGAGGGAGAGAGAGAGAGAGAGAAAGAGAGAGAGAGAGAGAGAGAGAGAGAGAGAAAAGATTTGAAAGAAAGAGAAGAAATTAATAACGCATAAACTCACATCGTCATCGCGTCCTTCTCTTCCACTCTAAATACGTAGTTCAACTCTTGTCTATTATTTTGCTAATTATTAAATATGACCAGAAAATCTTCTAAGAAGACTATTATTTTCTCCTTCGAGAAAAGTTTTTTTTGTTGACAGTCTTTTCACGGCTTCCAGCCCTTCTTCAAGTGTTTTTGATTTCTCAATAATTATGTTTCATTCGAGTAAGCAAATTTGAAGAAAAATCTTTAAACGCGTAGTTAACCACTCTCAAAGGGCCAATTAATACTCGCAAGTATGATATTTTTAAACGTGGTCACGTTTTAAAAGATTCTTCCTTAACAAATATTTTTCAAAATCAGCGAGACACCTTCGACAAAGCGCAATATTAAAATGAACAATTTCAATGATAAAAATTAAAAAAATGTTCAATTTCATATCGTTCTCGAAGATGACTTACAATCGTGACTTCAAGACTTTGTGCGAAATGCTACGTAACGTACAAAAATTATTCCGCAGAACAATTAATAAGACTCGAGTGCGAAGCGAAGGACGAAGTGAGAACGAGGGAGAGAAAGAAAGAAGGGTTGGGAAGAAGGGAGGAAAGAGGGGAGGTGGAGAAGAAGGAGAAGGAGAAAGAAGAGAGGGAGAACAAGAGAGAAATATATTCTACGAACCGAGAACGATGCTTAAGTGTCCCTCAAAGCGCAACATTGCTCGTACGACGACTCGAAAAACGCGCTCGTTCCACCCGGCATCCCTCGCTACTAACACTAGTATCTTACATTTACATAAGAGACATAGCAATAGAAATAATAATAATAATAATTATTATTATTATAATAATTAATACTATATATAATAATATTATTAACACTCTGATACCCTAATAATAATAGTAATAACATTAATATATATTATAAATCTTTATATATATGGTGATCTGACGAGTTCGGCGAGTACTCGTCGGTCTCGGCGAACGCGGCGATATTTTATTGAGATGTAGATTTTGTATTTTTCGCGCCTTTTGACGACGGACGACGAGTGGTTCGATCGAGTTACTACGAGCGTTTATTTAACGAATAACGATATGATTATATAGCAACATTTAATAATACTAATAATAACAATAATAGTAGTTATAATATTTCTATATTAATTATAAAAATATATATATTAATAATATAAAATAATATATTATATACATATAAGTTTTTTGAAAAAAAAATGAGACGTAGCGAGAGGTATCATGTAGCATCGGCTTCCATACGAGCTATATAACGTTGGGTATTTCGTGATAGTGATTGAGCTTTTCAAATACGAAAATGAATTTTTTAAGAATGAATCACACATTTTAAGCGTAAACTTGCGCATACATAGCTTTTTTTCAAGAGGAATAAATATTATATTATTATATTATTATATTACAGTGCATTATATATATTATATAGATGTATATCAAGAGCTATTATGCATATAAACTTATATATATATATACGTATATATATATAAAATACGTGTTATTATATCGCGCGATCTCTCTCTCTCTCTCTCTCTCTTTCTTCTCTCTCAATTTATCTACTAATTTATCTATATACTTATATATCTATACATATATTTAATCCTTTCTACCATCTCTCTTTCTCTCTCTCTCTTTCTCTCTCTCTCTCTCTCTCTCTCTCTCTCTCTCTCTCTCTCTCTCTCTCTAAACAGGACGCAATCGTATCGGGGGGGAAACGACGACTTTTTCTACCCCGAACTAGAATTCGTTCTTTTAATGTAGAGAATATAAACACGCACTTTCGCGTTATATTTTCTGCAATTTGCTTATTTTTTTTTTTCATATATATATGACTTGGCATAATAAAAATCGAAGAAAAAAAAGTTCGATGCAGTTCTTTGTTTAACGTTCGAATTTGTTTCGCGATAAGGATATATGATTAATTAAATATATTTGAGAATAAGCTTTTTCCAAAAAGCTTTCCATATGGTTAATCCTTCGGAAGAAAAAAAATAATGAATACAAACACGGAGGTTTGACGTCGTTATCTTGTTTAGTTTCCCGTCGACAAGAATCGCTCGTCGTCGAACGGGAGCCATTTGTTCATTTTCGCGTCGAACAAAAATAGTGATATGCCTCGGTCAGAACTCCGAAAAGAGACAAGATTTCTATATATAAATAGATAAATATTATGTTGCATATAACGTATATTATACAAATGTATACATATGCATACGTATATGTACATGAATACTGAGAACACGGGCACACAGATGTAAATGTGTTTATCATCCACCAATAGCAGATAAAGAACGGAGATACCAATATTTTCTAATCGCTTTTATTGACACACGTTAGTCGTGTATATTTTTTCATATACTTTTTATTCGCTTTCTATCGGATGTATATTATTTTTTGAAAGATTTGTTCTTTTAAACTTTTTAAAATCATCTTCGTTCTTTTATCTGCTGCGCGTTATTTCCGTAAAATATTCGCGATAATCATATATAAAGCACAGCATCGTTCACTTGTATCGTTCTCTTCTTTCTTAATTCTTCCTTTGAACGCGTTCTTGTAACTTATCTAGCTGAAGTATACGCTATTGAAAACAGATAATATATAATAAATGAACAAGAAATTTCTCTTTTATTCGTACAGAAATACACGTGATCAACACAACGTATACACGTGCACAGACGAAATCAAGGAGACACTCATAGATGGATGAGAATGTTATATTAGACAACCATGAGACTCCGAACGAAGCTTACAAACATGTATACATACAAACACAGAAACGTATATTTATATATTATGAACGACGCTCACATAAGAGAAAAAGAGAAAAGGATTTATTATATTTAAGTTCGTGGCAAAGCAAATTCTATATTTTTTCTATGTTAAGTATAAAGCAGATTAAAAAAAGAAACAGAAAAATAAATGCATTAAGAGAAGTTCTGTGAGACGTACACATATATATATATATGTATGAACACATAGGCGTCGATACAAGGAGATGCACTTTCCCTTGGATTTTATCGGCCGTTCTGCTACGC